AAAATGGAGTTACTGTACTAAATGCATACTTCAAAAGTATTTTTTTTTTTCCTATAAGAAAAAAAAGAGAAAAAAAAATTGTAAAAGAAAGAAAAAAAATGAACAAAAAAACTTTATAATAGGTTTTGTTTGCTATCTTCATTTTGGTTGTACTTTTTAGATGTTAACACCTTTTTTGTATAATTGTACCGTATATAGCTGTATTGAAATCATGTAACACCAAGTAGTAGATGTGATTTAAGGTAGTGTTGATTAAATCCATTTTAGTCATTATTTGGGGGGTGGGGGCGGGAGGGATGACATGGTCAGACGCAGGTGTCCCTTTTTTTTTTTTTTTTTACATTTGCTAAGGTCAGTTTGCGAAAGTTGTATAATATATAAATCCTGATTTTTATTTTATTTTTTGCTCACCCAGGTGTCCTCTGTAGAAAGCCTGTGATTTAGTCCAGTGTTCCCCGGTCTTTGGTTGTTCATTTATTATTGTCACAATCTTAACAGGGAATAGCAACAATCTGTACTATTGCGTTCTTCTAGGTAGCCACCTTCACAATATTGGACATACTGGTTGTCCTAACCATGAAATTGTCCACAGGCTCCCTACTTCTGCCTCCCTGTACTCCTCATGTGCAGTGCCTTTTTATTCCTATCCCAAGATGAATACAATCTTGTGCCCTCAGATTGCCATTGTCCCCGGAGCGCATCATTACAAGTACAGCCTTGAAACTTAAAGTGACACTAAACTCAGGAATTAAATCTTAATAGTTAAGGTACTTGAATGAATTTTTAACAACAATGTATCTTATTTGTGTATCACTCAGCTGTAGATCCTCCAATCAACTCTGAATTGGTGCTGACACTGTCCTTCCTTCTGGAGGGTGACTACTTTTGTTCCCTATGGTCCCATGTGTGTTGTAAAGTAGTCATTACTCCAATGTGATGGACTGCAATCTCATGTCTAGTTTACTAATTTGTAGGGATGTACTGATACTGGTATCGCTGTCAGTGCCGATGCTGAGTACTCGCCCAAATGCTCCGATGCCTCGCCCGATACTTCACTTGTGACGAGTAATGACGCACTGCCCGGCTTTCTGATTGGTCGGGAGGCCGGCTTCATGCTCCCTCATCACCTCATGACGAGGGAGCATGGAGCCGGCTTCCCGGCCAATCAGGAAGCCGGCGCCACGTCATTACACAGCGTTCGGCTTCCTGATTGGCCAGAAAGCTGGCTCCATGCTTTCTCGTCGCCTAGTGAGGAGAAGCATGGGGTCGGCTTCCCTGCTAATCAGGAAGCCTGGTGGCGAGTCATTACATGCCGCCTGGCTTCCGGAATGGAACTTCCGGTGTTCGGTATCAGCGAGGTACGGAAAAAAAAATATTGGTACTCGATACCGGTATCGGTGCATCCCTACTACTTTGTATTGTGATTGTAGTCCATCACAGGAGCGAGCTTGGAGCGGTGACTGCTTTGCAACACACACAGGGACCATTGGGAACAATAGCCCCCTCCAGAGTTTAGTGTCATTTTAAATATCCACAAATCTTTTGACGGGAAGCTGCCATTGCTTAAAAGTGAACCTGAAAAAAGTAACTTTTTTTTTGTCTTTTGATCCTGCCAGAAATCGTGTGAGCTCATAACCCAACTATATTTGCGGACTATAGAATCCTACCCCTCTGTTATGGAGTAGAGGGGGTGTTTGCATCCCTGTCCCTGAGTGACCAAACTGCTTGTTCATATATATTATATGATGAGTGAGCGTTGTCACCCTAGCACAGGAAGCATGTTACTGGCAGGGTCACCAGGTGAAAAGGGAACGAATGCAGCCACCATATTTAAGGACTGGTCACCTACAGTATATATACATTTTTTAGACTGGCTTCAACCCCAGGGTTGTTAGTCTTGGTGCTCTGTAGTCCCTGTATAGCAAGGGTAGGCAACCTTGGCACTCTGGCTGTGGTTACACTAGAATACCATTATGCCTTTGCCTCTGGGAGTCATGCCTGTCACTGCCAGTGTCTTGCAATGCTTCGTGGGATTTGTAGTTTCACCGCAGCTGGTTGCCTACCCCTGCTGTATAGCTTCACTGCGAATGAAGTGGTCTGGCAGTCGGAGAATGGCAATTTGCATGAAAGGCTTTTTAGCTTCAGCAATGCTCTTCCTCCAGTGCCTGCCACTGTTAGCACAGATTAGTTGGCGTTGCCATGTACTGCTTGCGGTGATGACCCTCTTACACCGTATTGGCATCCATAACCCTGTAGCTGAATGACCTAAACGGCAAGTAATCCCCCCTGCCCTAGAACCTCCCAGAATTGATGCATCCTTATGTTTCCTTAAGTGTGTGCTGAGATCTTTTCATTCACATCTTTTTTTTTATTTTGCAGTAACCTGTCCTTGGGTACCCCAAGTTCTTCAAAATTGATAACCCTTCCAAAGTATCTGAACAAGGAAGTGTCTTGGCACTGCTTGTATGTCACAATATTGTAGCTGTATAATGACCTGTAAATGTATCGCACACGTTGCTGTCTCTCCACTATGACGTTTAATGTACAGACAATACGGCGGTATATTATGTGGCTAACTTAGGTGTTGAGCGAGAAAGTATCTGGCCTCCCCCAGCCGATCTTATTTCAGAAAGCAACTGCATGGAGACTTCTGCATGAGGTTGTTGTGGCTCTCCTCCCGACTCCCGCTAAGGTTTTACCGATAACATTTCTCCATCTCAGTGAGCGTTTTACCCAGCTGATTGGATCCTTCGGATTGGTCTGAACTGTTGGTCAAGAAAGTTTCTTTCCTGTGTTAATCTCAAACACCGGGCATACTTTTTGTATTTTAATACTGTAAATACATTTATTTCCCAAAAACAATTTCAGTTTCCATTTTTATTACTCGCTCTATGCTTGAAAGTTGGTGTTGATATGCATACCTGTCCTTTTTTTGATTATTGGATGCGGTTTTGCTGAGCTCATCTCTTTTGGGTTTTCAGAGGTTTGCTTTGCTGTTTTGAAAGCGGTCAACCATGTCATACTAACTATACGTCTGTATAAACTTTAACATCTGGTTTGTCATTTTATCACAGTATACACGTTTTAAAATGTAATCATCATATGAAACTGAGACCATGTTATTAGCTCCATCACAGGAAGTACATTTATTTTAAAGGTTCTTAGTCTCTTCTAGGAATAGGGCTGCAACAACTAATCGATAATGAGAATCGCTGGCAACAATTCTCAGTCGATTAGTCGATTTTCGATTAGTTGCCGCCGCTCTGCTCCTTGACGGTCTGTGTCCCTTTTCAATCCCCGCTGCTCTCCCTGCCTGTATCGGCAGAGGCAGCAGGGACGTAGACCACTGCAACCGGCACCAGTGGGGGAGGAGAGGCCGCTGTGCCTCTGCATTCCCCTGCTAAACCGTACCTCCACTACTGCTCCGTTCCTCCTCCTCTGCCTGCCCCGTTCCCTTCTCTACTCCTCCTGCCCCCTCTTCTGTCAGTGTTCTATCAATCCCTCGGGCTCGAGTCTGAGGGATTGATAGAACACTGACATCAAGTCTCATCAGCAGCTGGAAATAATAGCCTGCTTATGGATCTTTTAAATTGCAATAGCAGGCTGGCTATTGCACCCGCCCACTGCCTGCTGTCAATCAGTAGAAGAGGACCTGAAGGAGAACTTCAGTTCCCTCCTCTGCTGATTTTCAGATAACCAATAACAGGCTGGCTATTGCTCCCAGCCACTGCCTGCTGTGTTGACATTCAGCAGCTGAATCCAGTGAAGTGGAAAGGTGACACTAAGGGTCTAATGTCAACTTAAAGAGAACCTGTCACCTCCAATGTGCCGTCACATAGGGGGCTTGTGAGCCCCACCATGTGATAGCAATAAGATAAAACATTTCCGGGTGCACCTAAATAGAAAAACAGCGATTGAGCTACACACGTCAGATATCGCTGCATATTTTATTTAAAATTAAGGATGGAATTTTTTTTAAATCCGAATAATTGAAAAAACAATTATCGGCTATCTAATTGATTCATGAAGATCGTTAGCTGCAGCCCTATCTAGGATGTTTTCTTCCACTGATGTGGAAAAGGTCATTGTAATGTGAAAGTTGCACTTGCTCCTGTGCCATTCTCTGGTGGAGAAGTGCCTTCAAAGTGTAACCAGGGCCAGGCTATTCACATTCCTAATAAGCAGTTCATTGGCTTTAAGCAAACCCTCACTGAGCTCTGCAGCTGCAGGCATGGTGGAGCAGTTCATACTCAAGTTTTGCGGCAGTACTAAAGTCATTATTTTAGCATTTCATCTCCCTCTCCCAGCAGTGATTTAGCAGTTCTGCTCTCCCCTCTTAACGGTGACTGAGCAGCTCAGGTCCCCCACCCAACATTGCTTTCAGCAACTCATTTCCTTCTGCTCTGCCCTCTAAGAATTGCATCAGCAGCTCTGCTCTCCCCTCCCAGCAGTGACTTAGCAGTTCTGCTCCCCCTTTGCTCTCCCCTCTTAACGGTGACTGAGCAGCTCAGGTCCCCCACCCAACATTGCTTTCAGCAACTCATTTCCTTCTGCTCTGCCCTCTAAGAATTGCATCAGCAGCTCTGCTCTCCCCTCCCAGCAGTGACTTAGTATCCTCATTTGCAGTTTGTTGTACGATGCCTTCTCCATTGAAATCAATAGAAACACGTCATACATTGTACGGTGACACCTCAAGGCATGTTGACATCATTGCAAAGCATCTGGAGTTGCATTTTGGTGCGTTTTATTGAAATTGAAAACGCAAAGGTGTAAATTGCGGCCCGTGCTGTGCTAACGCAATGTAAACCGTGGATTAGCGCAGTGTGCCTTCTGCGGTGCCATTTAAAGTGTATGCAAACCCCCAATCTGTTTTCTTCTAGTGTGC